TTTATGGAATGTCCTACTCCTGCCTGAGTCACTTAAAGATCTTAGGCGCTTTCGTGTGAATTGAATGAGATAATTCGCAGTAATTGATTCACGAAGCCGCTCTTTCAAAGTCACTATCTCTATCATAATAGAAGCAAGCTCAAGGCTAGGATGAATTAGCTAACGAATTGACTAGGAGAATGATTCTTGAATAAGGTGAAACTTTTCCTATTGCCCACTCCGCTCTCTCTTTGACCACTACTTACTGATTAGCTGGGAATATTCTTGCTTCTTGCCAGTTAGCTCTCCAGGGAGCTAAGGCAGTTACTGATTCAATTCTTTCGTAAGGGCAGGCTCATGGCGATAGGTTCTTTCAGTAGAGTATCTATAATCTAGGTATCAGTAGACGGAATGAGTCTGGTAAAGCTCTTTTGGCTAGCTCTTGGTCTGGGGAAGCTTTTTACTAGATAGGTATAAGATCTAAAATAATTAGCTTTGGGTCACGGCTAAACGTTGTAGGCCTAAGCGCAGTTGTCGCTCTTGGAGTCTGATCAGTAGGGGAGAAATTCACACCGGGAAATCTCTTTCTTAATAAAGAAGCAACATCCTAATCATACCCAGCCCCTGGCCGAATCAATACCCGGAGAATGGTAAATGGCAAGAAAGGGGCGGCAAGATCCGACTTGAAACTTGAAAGCGAGTTTGAATGGGCTATCAGAATTCCAGAAAGGTATTGCTTACAGAGGGCCAAAGAAGAATGAATTTCATTTTTGCCCTGAGACAACTCAATCAAACTAGTGGTATGCGACGTGACTTGGATTCGACTTCTTAACTCATCAACTAGAATGAGAAGTTGCAGTTCAAATGAATGCGGGGCTTTACCCAGTTTCACCGAGGGTTTAAGCGGTGATTAGGGACTTTCGGAACTCTAAGCCTTTTAACTAAAAGGGAAATCCAGCCTTTTCAACTAACGAGAATCGAACTGTCATTGAAAGCAGACGCCATCAGATCCAGCTCGAATGGAATCTTTGGACCGGCTAAGCGAAGTTTAAGGAATAACTGAAGCTATCTCATCCAGGCGGAGAAGGATATCTTGATGAAAGGGAAATGGCTATTCCGGATTCGACGTCTTGCTTCGACGTTTTGGAGGAAGGGCTGTTAGGGCAAGGGCTTCAGTTAAATTAGCTTTCCCCAGCCTCGTTCGGCTAAGCCGGAAAGAGTTATCTCACTGGCTGAACGAAATAAGGAGCAAAAGCCGGATCTTCGAACTTAAGAGCAGAGAAAACCTACTTCCTTCAGTACGGGAAAGAGTTGCTCTTTCTGCTTTAGGTGCAGCCAGTAAGGGCCTTAGCAATAAGATTAGGAATGGGCCTAAGCGCAGGAAGGGAGCAGGGAGAAGCAGCGGGGAGAAAGAAATCGTCTTGAGGTAGAGGGGTAAGTTACCGACAGTCTCGATCCTCAAAGGAAATAGGCGCTACCATAGTCACAAAAGAGATTCCATATTACCACCTATCCATCGATTGATCATCCCAGTTTTGTTACTCAAGATTGAGATTGTCGGGGCACCCTTCTTTAAGGTATGATCCAGGAGCGGACCAAAAACAACCTATCTTGCTGCTCCGAGTGCCTACCCCATAGCTGATTTCTTTTTATTATGCTGATATTTTTCCCCAAAGTAGTGGAGAGACAAACCGCATTTTTGGAAGGATTTCCTCCTTGTTGAGGCAAATCTGTTTTTTATTGTGCCATTAGGCTTTAGTATGTAATTTTTCGCAGAACTCGAAAAGGATTCATCGTGTAGCACTTTTATTGTATATAATAGTCGAATTGATCGCCTTTGAGAAGTGGGAAGAGTTGCGGTTGTGAACTCGCGAATCATCTTGCTTTATTTCATTTCCGAGTTCGGGACAAGGAGGCATTCGGGTCATTAGCCATAGGCGCCTTACCACGATCGTAGCCCTCCAGCGCAAGCATCTGTCCCGAGACAGTCTTTCTAGAGTCAATCCTCTCCTAAACCTTTAATTGGCTTTCAAAGCAGTTAACAGAATCCCTCTCCGAAGCTGCGAACGGACCTCCGCTTGTCAGCTCTGCTGTAATCCTTCTACCCATCGCTTTCAGCTCACCTTGAAGACTGTCACCCTAGCCTCTCTACGGACTTAATCTACCCTATCTTATCGGCTCACAACCTAAAGGTTT